ACGAACCTCTCCACAAGGCTAAAAGGTCTACTTTTTGGTCCACTTTTTATGTAAAGGTCCACTTTTTGGTCCACTTCTTATGTAAAGGTCCAAGATTTTTCTTGAAAAGCTGGACTGGAATCGTAGAAAAACTGCCCCCTGTCTCATTGAATAAAAATTTATCTCTGATTTTTCTAGGAAATCCTCTCAAAAATGCGCGAAATGCCATTTTAGAAGGTTCATTTTTCAAAATTTCCCGGGGGAGCATGCCCCCGGATCCCCCTAGGAACCTCGTCCCTCGGGGTCCCCTCAAGCAGTGGGAAGAACCCCCCCCCCCATTCAAAATCCTGGCTACGGGCATGAGTTGTCTACATTTTGCTCGGCCTGACAGGATAGACCCTTTCCCGGTAGGCTGTCATGTCATGTCTGCAAATCACATGCAGGTCACTGACGTCAGGGAGTGTGTCTGGCCGGGCGCCAAGGTGAGGAAGCCTCGTGCAACAGGGACTGCCTCGACCGCTTTATAGACTTCATACATGTCTTGAAGGCATCCAATGCAGTTTTTATGGCTTGGAAACCCGATTTTTCAAAGCCAATATTGTAGTCACTTATCTACACACTGAGTTGAAACCACACTATATCCAAATGTATATTGACCCTCATGGAGCAAAAATACCCAAAATTCTGATGGAAAATGGTTACTGCAAGGGCCCTTGGCTGATTTTTAGAGTAGCACCCATAAAATAAAGGACTCATCTACGGTTTTAAGTAAGTATAAAATACTGATTGAAATGTGCTGAAGTCAAGCAGTATGTGTCAATATCATAAAGATTGCCTCATTCAAAATAGTTCCAGTTTTGCTGCTCTGAAATCGCATTGGAAGACTTTTTAAAAGCATCAATGCAAACGGATAAGACGATAAACATTAGGGACAAAAACAAACAATTTAAGATGATTGAGTAAAACCGAAAAGAACTTCAACAAGCCCCTGGACAGAAAAAAGGATTCCAGACGACGTCTTGAGAAAGCTAACCTGGAGTCCTGACTGTTGCCAGGGCGACTGGTTGACCAGGCTAAGGGAACGTAAGTGTGTTACCCTCGGGACATGTTCTTAAGACATTTCTGGAAGTGGTCTGGAGACAGATAGCACTCTCGAAAACCGAAGCAAAAAAGGCACATGTACATTCCTTAACTAGACCACTCTACTTAAGACCATTAGCGGATTGTCTCATTGGAAGCCTGTTGAAGAAAAGATCATGGATGGAATCTTGGCAGAGAGAGGGTTTGCCACTGGTTTGTGCTGGAGAATGTATTGAACAATCGGTCTGTGCAACAGTTTAAAATACCCGAGTTAAGACGTTAAGGAGGTCGCTAATACAACTTGTAACAAACATATGTGTGTGTTCAAATCGTTTTCCTGCTATGTAAAATGTGGCTACGTACTACTAGTATAGACGAGAGTCACTGTCATCTTAAGTATTGCCAAGCCCAATTTACATTGGATTACTAGCAGCTGCACATGTGTTAATTACAAAACAAGTGACCGGTACAAATAAAAACAAGGGTAACTGAAGGAGGGGACACTAAGGAACGTAAATAACTGAGTCTGTTGGTGTAAGAGACAAGACAGTGCATTTAGTGTGTTAGTAGGACATATATATATACATATATACAAGACGTGTAGGGGCGACTCAATGCAGCAGGGTCCTCGCCAGTCCAGTTTTAAACTGGGTGAGAGACCCCGCCTCCGCCACACCAGGCTCAAGTTCGTTCCACTCTTGGATGGTACGAGGGAAGAACGAGAGCCTATAATAGTTGTTCTCAGTGTGTTTTATATCGTGCTGTTGACAACAATGACAAACTGATAGAGTGTCCTTGATCTCTGAAGCCAAAGTGATGCACGTGTGCTTTACATCAAAATGAGCTTACCAGCAAGGAGAAACGTGTTTGTAGTACAAATGAACCCTGACTTTTGTAAGGTTCACCGGAACCCCTACCTTCACCCCGGAAGGAAAGTTTGCCTAGGCACCCTTGAATGAAAGTTTCAAGCAGACAAAAACCACCTGCATGCTGGGTGAGCTAATAAGTTGGACAGACGGAATAGAAACTTATATAATAGCCTAATATCCTTCGGTGGGGAAATGGATACAGGCTGGCAAATTTGATCCTGTTTTCCCCCCACCAAAAGATCTACTTGGAGATTAATAATAGCCGAACAAACCCAGTCTATACCTTACCTTGTTACATGGTTCAGAGGCTGGTGACCAAGCTAAAGAACACACTATCATGCTAACACACAATCATACTTAACGTACGCGTTATATGTACAATAAAACTACATGATTCTTCGTTTAATTATTTGATTCGTAAAGGTACAAGTACAGAATGCTAGCTATCGACCGCAGGTCCAGAGCAAGCAGCTAGGGGGCTCAAACTCCTGTCACTTCATCTCCAACACAAGAGCTATCTACCATGTAAATTTTGTGACCCTAGCATGCCTGGATCATGAGATATCAAAACCGGAAGTTCTGCTGCAGTACCATGACAAGCCGCCACGGGGCCCAAAATCTCATCAGTTCCAGGTCTCATCAAGACCTACCCACCTACCAAATATCAAGACAACCCATCCAGGCGTTCTTGAGTTATCGTGCTCACACACACACACACAAACAAACACACACACACACACACACACACACACACGAACGCCCCTGAAAACATAACCTTCTCGGCGAAGGCAACTCAACAAACAGGAACACATTAACAGGCATGTACGTATATCATTTACGATGGTGACCCCTCCCTTGTAAACGTGACAGGGGGGCAGTCAACAGTTGTTAGGCCGAAGAGGTCACCAACGAATACCTCGTCACAATTACGGCTATCATAATTATGTGACGTATAGATAATTCATCACCATCAACACAGCTGTAACAGGTATCTAGTGGTTAGTTGTTGGTGTCTCTACATGAACACGAAACCTACCGTATTGTCCTGCACACACCCTCCCCATTGCAGCCTGCAGATGACCAGGAATGTGCCAGCTTGCTGTCGGGCCGCCTGCCGCTGTCGGAAGGTCAGGACAAGCCAATAATGAAAGCCTTACTGGTCAAACTGACCCTTCCAAACACACCACAGATACAGACCCCGGCCGTCCTGCTGTAGACAGTGCGGTAGTTGGTGCCGGGCAGGACTGGAATGATACCGGTGGGACAGCCGTGGTCACAAACAAGGTCTAGCGCACGAGGAGGTTAAATTTAGCAGCACGAATGCCTGTGGACGGCGGCTGGGATATCGGATATACGGGTGGGGTTACGGATATATCGGAAGTCCTTGACAAAGATAGCCGACAATCGCTCTAGCTATAGCCAGGCTATATGTGTGTGTGCCAGAGCTTATGCATAACAAGTAGACAGCACACGTATATATTCTGGACAGTGTTCGCGAAACGCTATGCATTGGGCGGTGGGAACACTCATGCGATGGGCAATTTTTAAGACATCCAGTTTCCACTAGATGGAGACTGTTGATCGACCAAAATTGGTTTTGCATAATGTTAACCAATGACTTTAAATTGAACATACCCACCAGGGCTCAAAATACATTTTTCTGCATACCTGCACTGGTAGAGTTAACATTGAAAATAACCTGCATTAGGCAAATTTTACCTGCACGACTCAGAATGTAGGAAGCTATGAATCCTACTAAAACTGTGCAGAAAGCATTGCCATTATTTGTTTTATAGTATATAATTTTATAGGTGTTAACAGTGAATGCAGCAAATATAATCCAAATATACCTATATATGTATATGTATATATAGGCCCAGTACATGGACTAGTACTAGTAGATCTTGTACATGTGCTCTCCATTGCAAGCGAAAACTTTAAGTCTGCAAAACGTCTTTCCCTCCAATATTGAGATGATGTTTTCAAACCTACTGTATGTAAATCTGCTAGAATTAAGAGGATCAGGATTTTGCTTCTTCAGACATCGATATCGTGCTTCTTATTTCAATATTTGGGCCAAATAATCCGACGTTCTCATAAGGCCACAGCAAGTAAATTTTATGGATGACATCAGCGCGAGCATATTTTCGCCTGATTTTGAAAAAAAAAAAAAAGAAATTTTGTTGCCTTCTGACAGTGGTGAATCTACCGAAGATGGGCAAAAATGTCTGTTGCCATGCCGGAAGGTGGATGACAGATAACTATGAAGAGAGGAGACAAGAAAGGGCTCTGATTTAATGTTTCGTTTCTTACTTTGATGCTATGATAAGTGATGCTGGCTGTGATGTTTCCACTGGATCAAAACCATCAAGACGGTCAAAAATTTAGATTGTAGGAACCTTGTTTTTTCGGCCTGACTTGTTTTTTTTTTGCCCGCTCGCATTGAATTTGGAGTCTGCGGAGGATGTCATCCATAGAATTTACTTGCTGTGGCCTAACCTACATACTGTGTATAGATCGACATCAGAACACTGGCGGACCCGAATCCTAACTAAGAAAGCATCATGTTGTACACATGTAGAATGACAGACCTTTATGTAGGCATAGTTTTTAATCCTACTAAATGGCCAATACATCAGGGCACTCTATATGCCGCAACAAATTACTTCATCCCCCTGCCATTTGCGTAATTGGTTGGAGGGTTAGCCGTGGTGTGAATGTAAACCGGTAGCCAAACGAAAGCCGACTGCCGAAAGCCCTGTTAGCCTAATTAGTTCTTTTGGGGGTTTTCTCGGCGCGTGGTTGGGTTAATTTGGCGGGCACTTAATCTCATTTTGTCGTGACGAAACTGCAGCTTTGTGGTCTTTATTCCGTCTGTAGTGGCCTCTTCGTGTGATAGTTTTGAACGGCAGCGCCAAATAAACCTTGCATTAACAATAGTAATAATAATAATAACCTTTATTGTACATTCATGCCCTACCGGGCTAAGTACAGGCGAACAGATGAAATAGGTAATATACATGTTTGTAGTACAAACAGCTCTAAATCTACTCTAATACAGAAGTTCGGTTTCTTCTCGTTTCTTTGTGATGTTAAAAATATAATTTGAAATGGGTTTGTATAGTACAGGATGATTAAAGCGCATAAGAAAGATAAATTTTTTCAATATTAGACAAGAATTGGAAGTATGGAAACGTACTTACTGTCTAGTAATATATCTAAAAAGATCATTTCTTTTTAAAGATCATTATTATATATTATTAAGCTACAGTCAATAACAAAGTGGGCTTCATCTTCTACTTTGTTTGAGCTACAAGATTAACAAATTACAAGGCTTAAAAGTAGTTATTACTTGACCTAATTAGAAAGTTACTGTATTTGTTCTGCTTCGTCAACAAAGTTTCTGTGACGAATCCCTAAATACGTGCCAGAGAAGCTGACTTGTTACGCCGTTTTTTTTCTTTTGTAGAACATATTTTACTCTAGTGGCATCAGCTGTTAAGTATCTATCCAATAAAGTAGGGACAATAAAATAGGGACGAACAGTAGCCGTCTCTGGTCTAAGATACCACATGCTGTGACATTTCTTCCATTGGTTCGAAGTAGCTTTCTTTTTTAAAACATTTTGCATCATTTACAGTCACGACCATAATGTTCGAACGTTCCATGCGGAGATGCTCGTCCGTTCTAGAAGCGCCACTTGACATGATGTTTCATAATTGCAGTGATACGAGTACATGCATGTACATGAGTCAGTGAGTCACTTCTCCCTAATCTCCAAGCAGAGGTTGCGGGGGAATGATCGTTAGGTTTTTATATATGGCAGTTGTTGTTTTTTTGTCGCCAATCCCACCACCCGTCGGGAGCCGGCGACCTTCTCTGGCTAATGGCTACTGCCTGGCCAATTTGATACTGTCTTTTTGCCACCGAAAGGGATCTGCTTGGAGATTAACTTCTCTCGACATTAGCATTGTGTATTGCCGTAGCAGTAGCAGTAGCATTGTGTGCACGGACGGAAACATGATACTACAGCATTCATTACACAATATCTGTTTACGCACGGTTACACTTGACAGGGTGTAGGCTGTTAATACATATGAAGCACGTTTAAACTGTAAGTGTAATTTCCAACACAACAAATTGGACTACGTAAACTATTTGTGAAGGAATGAACAGTCCACCGCTTCTGTTGTTATGCAGATGACACACGTGACTCGGTGAGCAGTGGATCATGTGTTACAGAAAGCATGCTTTGTACTGCATGTACATGTAACGTTAGAGGTGTGACCTACATGACCCTACAGATGCCGCCATGATGCATATTCTCGGACCAATCATTCTAGCGACTGTAACGTCGCTGATCCTCTCATACTGTCAGTTTGCCGTTGGAGAGAAGGTTCTCTTGGTTTCCCTGCCGTTTGCAGACAGCCACTGGTTCGCCCATGCCAACCTGGGGCGTGCTCTTGTGAACAGGGGGCATGTTGTTACCGGTCTAATGTCGCAGGATAGTTTGGCGAGGCGAAAGACTCCCGAGTTTCTGTTCGAGACCTTCGACGACCGGGGGACCAGTGCACGGATGAAGGCGATCGAAGTCCAGCATGTCTCAAATGCTGAAGAAATGTCTCTTGTGAAGATAGTACAAGTCCCGAGCATGCTGACCGATGAACTGATGAAACACTGTGAGTTGTTGTTGGGTGACAGGGAGATGTTAGAGCGACTGAGAGACTCGCGCTACGGTGTGGTGATCACCGATACGTTCTTACCCTGTGGCGCCATACTCGCGGCCTACCTGCGGGTCCCTAACGTTGTCCACCAGCGATTAGAGCCGTTTGCGATGGATCTCGCGGCCACAGGCGTCCCCCGACCCCCGGCCTATGTACCAGAGGTGCCGTTACCGTTCTCCGATCAAATGACATTTCTACAAAGGGCACAGAACGCGATCGTCCCCACCCTATTGACTGGGGTATTACGAGGGATCCTACGCAGCAAGTTCGATGTTCTGGCTCGACAGTATCTCGGAGAAGACGAGACCCTACTGACCGCCATGTCGCAGGCTGACTTGTGGCTGTATCAGACCGACACCGTGCTAGATTTCCCGGCTCCCTCCATGCCCAACATGATCCAGGTCGGCGGGTTGAATGTCCTTGAGGTCGCTCCCCTTGCCAGGGTGAGTAACGCTGGCTTCTGCCTTGCATGACGAACACTAGCTAAAGCATATTCGTCCGTCTACCGCACAGAAGGAAAACATATTCGTTTTGCTCTGTTTCTTTTTCATCTTCACCAAACAAAAAAAGGTCAATGACCTCGACCAGGTAGTTGTCGCCATGGTAACTGGTGCTGCAGCAGACACCCTGCCGTGTTAGCTTACATTATGTAGCATGTGTTGGAGGAGCTGGTCACCATATATATATGAATGTGTTTAAGTAGGAAAAGAATTAAACAGAGCAGTAGTCTATATGGCATGGCTTTGTTAATTGAGTTAACCCATGTCAAATCTGAACAGCCAATCAGCAAGGAGAATAGAGGAAAGATGCATGCCTATTGGTTGCCTGCTCTACATGCCATTCTGATGACTCATGCCTAAATATGGTAGCACATATAGCACACTGCTATAGTACATTTTTATAACACAGCAAAAAGCTCAATTAAAACCATTCCAAAAGCCTGTATCACAAAAATGAAAAAAAAGAACACCTGGGGGTATTTGCCCACTCTACCTTTATGCCAAATTTCATGTTATTTATCCCAAAAATGAAGGAGTTGAATCAATTTAAAGAAATGGCAGAAGAAGAAGGAGAAGAAACGTGAGCAAAAACAATATGACTTATAGTGGTGAAGCCATAACTACGAATTATACAATTTATCGTTTCAGGACTTGGAAACATTTGTCCAGGGCTCTGGAGACCATGGCGTTATTGTTGTCAGCTTTGGATCGGTGGTCAAGGCGATGTCGACGGAAAAGGCAGAAATCTTCGCCGAAGTCTTCGGCCGCCTCCGACAGAAGGTGGTGTGGCGGTACACGGGAGAGAAGCCGGCCGGGCTGGGCAACAACACCAAGCTGATGAGCTGGCTGCCGCAGAACGACTTACTGGGTGAGTTGACAAAACACACCCGAAATTTGCTGCATTTCCCCCTAAAGCCACGGTCACAACCCACCGTACGTGCTTCTGCGTGCTGTCTACGTGCAAAAACGTGGGCAAACGCAGGGCATCCGTGCGTGGCCATGGTGAGTACCGCCTCCGTACGGAATCCTACGGATTTGGGAGCACGCAGACACGCCGTAGAACTTTAAGTGCATGTAGAACTTTTTCTACGTGCGGTCTGCGGATTCACCACCCGTGTGTGCGAGTACAAGCGACGCGCGTGCCCCGTACGTGCCGTGCTGAAGAAGCACGTGTGAGTACGGCCTCCTTACGGTAAAGTTGCAATCGCACAGAGATCGTAGGTTGTAAGCACGTACAACTCACTTACCACTTGCGCAACGTACCATGCACGCAACCGCTCACGGCCAGACGTGGCGTGCAGACCACTTCGCGCAACCGTGCGAGTGACGTGCGTAGACGCCACTCCTTCCCCACGTTTTCAGAAAAAAACGTAGCAGACGTAGCCTCCAAAAAACGTACGGGACACGTACGGCGGGTTGTGACCGAGGCTTTGTTTTCAACGGTATCTCATCGCCTGCATACCATTGTCATTTTTACCTACTACATCACTCGACTGAAAATGAGTACCAAGTTTCAGTTAGGGACCTTCTCTCAGATGCAAAGCAGAGGTATTGTGTTTTGAGAGAGCCGAACGCACTTATCGAAAATAGTACCAGGCTTGAGGTGGTTCAAACCTTACAGTCCGGTCTTACGCAGCTTGTACGTACTGTATAAAACTGACGTGTTATGCCTAAAGGCGGTTTACCGGTCAGGCGAAACACAAGTGTGAATTGTGATGGTTGGTCTGTCTAATGTACGCCCAGATCAGGGATCCATTGCAAGTGAGAAACATATGATCTGCAACATCATTTAACTGTATTACTACGTGTATGCGGTTATCAAATGATAAATTTATATTTTTGATGCGTCTAGACAAACCCTGTATCACAAACATGATCTGCTCCCACATTTTCCACTGTACAAAAAAGCGAGGAGAAGGTGACCTCTCTATATTAGCTCAGTGACTAGAACACTTTGTATATTAGCCTAGTATAGTACCCTTGTATGTTCCTTATGTATGTATGTCTAAGTCAAGCAGTGCATCTCTTGTCTCCAATTTCCTATATACGTTTGTTATGTGTCTGTTATATCTTGACCTGTACCTAGCCCGTCGTGGCATGAATGTACAATAAAGGTATTTGATTATTATTATATTAGCGATCAACATGTAGTGTTTTATTTTAGGCCACCCTAAGACTCGAGCGTTCGTCACTCACGCCGGATCGAACGGTGTGTATGAGGCCCTGCACCACGGCGTGCCCATGGTCTGCCTGCCGCTGTTCGGGGACCAGCCCGCCAACGCCGCCCGGGTGGTGGCCAGGGGACTGGGGGTGAAGCTGGACTTCAGCACGGTCACGGCGGACGAGCTGTACCGGGCCATTCTACATGTTCTTACCAACAACAGGTGAGCTCCACAGATCGTGAGCTTAACGGAGGAAATATGTATTATTTTGTCATTGTGTGGATATTATTTATAGGTAGACTCAACCAAAATAGGCGCGCTCCCGGAACAAGATAATATCATAAATATACTAATTCTGTAAAAATTCCGGCAGTAAAATTCGCGGGGCAGTTAGCTGAAAAATCATTAGGTGGTAACAGATCGAGTGTGATGGTTTTGCAGTGCGGGAGAGGTAACAGCGCGAAAATCGTGCCTCCACCAGGCCTTTCTACGGGAATACGGATAGTAGAATTCGGCAAAAAAAAGTAAAATTGGCCAAGGGAGTCCGGCCGCGGAGAGGTAGTTTCTTTCCCGCGGCCAGTCAAACCTACAAGGCGGCCAAACTCCCCTGGCAAATATTCTCCTATATATAGCCAGCGTAGTTAGTCTGGTAGAGACTAGCTTAAAACACCACGAATACTTACTCACATTTAACATTATACCGACTAACGCTTGCCTTATTATTGATTTCTTAACGTTACGTATCGATCAAATCGCTATAACGTTACAGTCATACGTAAAAACATTCCCCATGTCAAATAAAAAGCAGTTGCTACTGCTTCTACCTTGTTTTTAAAGCTACCGTGAGACGGCAGCCCGCCTGTCCCGTCTGCACCGTGACCAGCCCCAGTCACCCATGGAGCGGGCCGTCTGGTGGATAGAACACGTCATCAAACATGGCGGACTGCCCCATCTCCGCGCACGCGCCGTGGAGCTGCCGTGGTACCAGTACTACCTGCTGGACGTGGCTGCCTTCCTGTTGGCCGTCTGTTCAGCTGTTCTTGTGCTCATCTGGTGCAGCTGTTCTCTCGTCTGTAGAAAGATTTGCCGTAAAAGTGGCGACAAGCTGAAGTCTCAGTAGAGAATTCCAAAGATTGTAACGTTAGAGGTGGCTCACTAGCAGTATCTGCTGTATGTAACATCATAAGGCCACACCAATTTAATTTGTTGGTTCTCGGATTCGCCTCTTCGTTTTTTTCTGATTTGCAAAAAAAAAAATTGATTCTGGTCCTGAATCAACTGAAAAATGCTCATGTTTTGCCCCCCAACAGTTGAGGAAAGTCCTTGTCTTCCTAGTTGTTACAGTTTTCCCATCTATCATTGCAGTAGTTTGATTAAAAGTTCAAAATTCAATGTTTAAATTTTAACCCAGCCTTTTGTGTTGACTTCATTGCTCATTTTGTAGCATTTAAGCCTATAATAGGATGCCTCGACCTGTTTTTATTTTTAATTTTTTCGCCCTGTCGCTTCATATATTTTCTGAAAAAAAATCCGAGAACCAACAAATTAAATTGGTGTGGCCTAAGCTACGTTTGTATACATAGAATTAATTGATGAACTTTATTACAAAGCATTTGTATATGATGCAATGAAAAACAGCATGAAAAACAGCAGTAACTACAACATTTATCAGAGACCAATCTTAACATGATATCCTTATAACTAAACCAAGTAAACTGTAGGAAACTCCGGTAACTTATGATAAGTAATAAGTAACATAAAATGCAATGTTGTTAGTCTCCTAAATGTTTGATCTTCTACCCCGATATCTGCTTGTAGATTCAAGTCCGATTCTTATTTGACATTCGTCGAACTGTTTTTGCCAAACATCTACTTGCCTAGCCTCTACCAGGCACCGCGGATCGCTGGAAAAATAGTAGAAATTGGCCGAAATAAAGGGATAGTATACTAGAGAAGATCCAGGGCCATTAGAAGCTCCAATTTGCGACCCACGGAGCCTGTGCGGAGCTTCTATGGCCCCGGATCTTCTCTGGTATACTATCCCTTTATTTCGGCCAATTTCTACTATTTTTCCAGCGATCCGCGGTGCCTGGTAGAGGCTACTACTTGCCTGCATCTGGTGCAACTGTTCCCTCGTCTGTAGGGCGTGTTGCCTCAAAGGTTCTGACAAAGTCAAACGACAATAGGCATAGAGAATGGAGGTCTGTATTGAGTGAATGAATGAATGCCATTACTTAAAAAAACCTTGGTCGTAATTTGCTGTAGGAGTACGAGAGGAGTTGTTTCAATCTTTGCAACTGGCTGAATGTTACCTTTGCGGAAGAAGAACGTGTTATTTTTACTCCGTTTCCTTCCTCTTCCTCTTCGAGATCTGCTTCCGTTCCAAACAAATAAGGTCAATGACCTACACCAGAGCGTTAAGTTTGTTGCGCTAGACGTGCATTTTACTTTAAGGTAAAAATTATGTATTTGCTTTGCAAATGTTACCTTTCTAGTCTACACTCATAAGTAAACTTAATAAAAGAGGGTTCTACATATAGAGGGTACTAAACGCATTACAGGTACTACTTAATTTTCAACGTACGTTCTCCTTGGTATAGCAAATGTGAGCTGGACACGGCGTTTCCAATGCGTAAACCTAACATGATGAATTCAAATCCTGCCTAGCAGCCCCACCTAGCAAATCCACCAGGAAACTCATCCTAACCCCACCTGATCACCTCGCAGCTCTGCCTAGCAGCCCCACCTGGTGTCCTACCTTCCTGCCCTGCCTAGCAGCCCCACCTGGTGTCCTACCTTTCTACCCTGCCTAGCAGCCCCACCCGGTGTCCTACCTTTCTACCCTGCCTAGCAGACCCATCTGGTGTCCTACCTTTCTACCCTGCCTAGCAGACCCACCTGGTGTCCTACCTTTCTACCCTGCCTAGCAGCCCCACCTGGTGTCCTACCTTTCTACCCTGCCTAGCAGCCCCACTTGGTGTCCTACCTTTCTACCCTGCCTATAGCAGCCCCACCCGGTGTCCTACCTTTCTACCCTGCCTACATGTAGTAGCCCCACTTTATCTACAAACCCTTACTTTGTCTACCAACCAAAGCAGCATAACAACAACTACATACTGTAGCTTAACTATAGTTTGTGTGATTGAAATACAAAGACTGTTCTTTTACGAGTACATTTTTTAATTCTTTTGAAATAACAATTGCAAGAGATTCAGGAGGAGTCTGGTAGTGACAACAACAGTAATTTAGGTTTCTGGCTGAAGGATATTGTCTGATACGTATACATTTACAATGATCAGCTGAAAGAATCTATCCACTGTTGGCACTTGGTGTGTACGTCTAGTCTGTGCCCAGGCGGCATCGAGTCGTTCTTGAGGTCCTTAACGTCTTTAAGGGCAATATGAGGCTTCTTTAAGACGTATTCCCGCCGTCTTCCAGATGTAATCCCAGCGTCTTGCTCAGACAGTGTAGGAGACCCTGACCTGCCGTGTACCTCCAGTGTGGTGGAGCCGGCAGTGCTAGTCATCTGCAGCCTGTTGGGGTCGAGGATGTGGTCCACCCTCCTCAGCAGCACGCGGGTGTTCTCCCGCCGCATCACCGCCGACGTCTCCCGGTCCGCCCGGTGCAGCGGGTCGCACAGATCCTCCGTCAGACCCTCCATGTCGGGGATGGAGCAGATATTGACGGGCCGCTGCCCGGGTTTGTTGTTGGTGAGAGTGACGAACCCGTTATTACAGGTGAACTGCGTGTCGGTTCGGTTCAGTCTGCGGCGTAAATGAGGCAGTTGGAGCGGGGGAAGGTTCACGCTGGCGGTGACCAGGTTCCTGCGTGGCGTGTCCGTGTTTACGTTGACAGCTTTCGAGCTCGCAGGAAAGTTTGTTCGGTGGAAACTTTGCATGTCGAGGTGCACCGAAGCGACGAGTGCCCGCGGCGGTTGTTTTGGTTTAGTTGCCATGGTGACGCTACCTGTAGAATGTCTCATCCCCTGAGGCGCTATAGGGACTAAAGTCCGTCCCGAATGACTATAATTGTTCTTCACAGGTGTTAAACCTTCGCTTTCGCTGCGGACTTTTCCTTTTCTTTTACTCTTCTTAGCGTCAAGAGTCTGAAATTTGACATGTAAATCTCCAAGTTGACTTACTTTACCGTGCCTTGGTGTAACCATTTCCTGCTCCGTAGTAGCCAAGTTCTCCGAGCTTCTCACCGCGCCGCTCTTTTCTGTCAAGCGGTCGGGGGCAACGCTAGAGAGGAAGGTGACTCTCTTGGCCGGTCGGTGAGGCTGGTTCTCTTGCCAGTGTGTTTTCGCCATGTTCTCCAACAGTCTGAGGTTATCTGCACCCCTCCGTACAGAGTCCAATCTCCGGTTACGGAACAGGTGATCGTCAAAATAAACCCTATCCACACTTCCCGTAGACTCCATAGCTGCCATCGGAATGTCCTAACGTCGTGTCAGAAACAGAATCGTACAAAACTCGTGTTGGAGAACTTTTCCTTCACACGTACACGTACTGTACACTTAAACGCTCTCTGTGAACAACAAGCCTCTCCGCTTGGCCCTCGTACAAATCTGCTTTTAAGAGGTGACTTAGCAAACAGAGGTGTACAAACAAACGCAGGTTGCCTGGCGGCGGCATGCAGGCCTGCCCGCAACACCGACAGCTGTTTAGTCTAACCACCAAGCAGATGTGAGAGACTCCGGCTTGATTTCAGGCGCTCTGCACAACTTTCTAGTGTCACACCCAACTAGATGTCGCGGGAAAAAAAACGCGCAACGCTGTATGGGCCATACGTGCAAAACGATGCCAAAAAAGGGCAAACATTTACTTGGAGATTATGTTTGCTTCACGTAACGTATTAGTGTACTTAGTGGGTCATACCACGTACGGTAGCGGGGGCAGAGGGTCAAAAGGTGAAAATCTGCGGACACGTCATCTCAGGTGTGGGAGTTGAAGACGGCCGACACAAGCATGTCGGTACCCTGAAAGCCAGAACTCGTTTTCAGGGCCGCAAAAGCCCTTCGCCCGCTGGTGTAAATTAGGCCATGTTGATTTGATTATATGGATGACATCCGTGCGCGCATGAATTTTCGGCCGTTTCCAAAAAAAAAAAAAAGTTTTCAACCATACTGTAAATCGTACAAAACAGTTGCAAAATGAGCAAAAATATACCATAAGTTACAAAAAAAATTAATAAAAACTATACCAATGTCGTAGAATGCCAAAATCAAACGAAAAAAGACGAAATTGTAAAGAAATGAACTTGAAGACTAGATTATTCGCCAGACCATATTCTGTGCCATTTGCTCAACCCTCATGACCACGTAGATTTCATAATGAAAAGAACTTTTTTTTTGCAAAACTTTATTTTTATTCGCACGCGCGCATCAGTTTTGGGGCTCCCGGAGGATGTCATCCATATAATCAAATCAACATGGCCTTACCGCTACGGGGGAGTCTAGCCCGGGGGAAGTTTGGCTGGCCGTACAAGTTCTAGGGCCGGAAAAACCCCTCGGGCTCAACTCCTCCGTAGCGATAATTTAGACAGGCGGGCGTAGGGCTCTTGGCTGCTGAAGGAAAACGGCTAACGGCCCGATACTAGTTTTGGCATCCAGGATAGCATGTCGGCAGAAGGTACTGCGCCCGCCCGAAGCCAGCAAGGATTTTTTTTCACGATTTTTGTTTTGATTACTGGTCAACGTTGCAGCAGACTTTTGTTCGGATTGCAGACGAAATATCTTTTCCGACACATTTGAAAACTACAGACAGGTTGTCATCATTTAAAATAGGCATGTCAAACTTTCCCGCTCCGGCATTGGAACGCGGGGGCGCGCGAGGCAGTAAATATTTTTAAACGATCGTTAAAAATCAACCGTTTGTATTATGAAAATAAAAATCGTTATCAACAATGTATATGATGTCAGCTATCGTGTCATTGTATTTTTAGTTGAAAATATGGATCAATAAAGGAGCTAAAAATCAGCAAAGTTGAAAATACAGCCGAAAATCAGCCCCGTTCGGACGCCGCGAACGCGGCACGCTATTTTGAAGCCGCCGGGCGGAGACGTCTTCTTCCACTCAAAAGCCACAAACCGCTCGGGCTCGTAGAACTCTGGGAATGGTTTGATGTGAAAGGGCAGAGTTCAGGGTTCACGACAGCGGTGGGACAAAGTTGATACGTCATCGCTGGCGGGAGGTACGAGTCGAGAAGGAAAGCGTCCAAAAAGTATGTGAAAAATTTTGCTATTTTTCTTGAATTTAACAATTTTGTCCGCCCATAGCAGCAAATATAAACACCTTGTGGTTATGTTGGTGTAGTTTTTGTTTCATTTGAAGCGAGTTTGAGCTGTGGGTTTAGCGAAACATTTTTTTAGTTTTTCCCGGCCGCCGGAAAAATGGTGCGTGCTATGCGCGCGGCCGGCCCGGGCCGTGCCGTGAGGGGAGGGGGGCGTTAGATCGCGAACGTTGTCGGTTTAATTCAACCTATAAACATGAATTCCGCTGCTCTTAAGTAATATATTTTATGCGTAAGTGTGTTACACTTTTAATTTACGACAACGTGGCATATTTTGGACGAAAAAAAAACTTTAGCCGGATCGGATCATGAGATTGTCATAAAGTGTTATATTCAATGTTATGTTTTGTCCTGCGTGATCAAATGTAACGTTTACCCAGCCCCTGATGTAGATTTTTTTTTGTTTACTGATCCAGTTTTGAAGAAAAAATATCAAATTTCTTGTTTCTGATGTCAGATACCAAGGCCAAATCTAGTAACCCCACTATTTTTTTTATATTGCCACTTGGTTGATTTCATTTTTAAAATCTTAATTCAACAAAGAAAAGTGAATCATCCTGAACATTTTGAATGGCTATTGTTGTTGTTGTTGTTGTTGAATCTATTACTCCGCTCACTCTTGTCAGAAGATGGTCCCATGTGATTGTCTTCTTCCTCCTGTGCATTCTCTCTTCCCAGTGTACCCATCTCTTGTTGCTTTTTTCCAATTGGTCGGCTTCATGTTCAGTGGTGGTTTCCTCTTCTGTTCGTTTTCTTAGTTTTATGTTTTCTTATTCGTTTCCTTAGTTTTCTGTTTTCTTTTTACATTGGCTATTTATATATGGCTGTACATGTATATTAAAGTACACAAAAAGAGACTAGATACTAATTCTACCCATATTCTATTTTAGTGGATGAAGAAGAGACATGCAGGAGAGCTGTGCAGAAATGCAGGATTGAGTCTTACTGCACATGAAACTGGCAGCTGTCAAGTTGAGCATGACAGATTCACAAACGGGCCATTATTGGAGTTGTTTAACTTTGTCAACAAGACTGGGCTCAAGAAGACACGAGAGTGAAGTGGATAGAAAATGTGGATAAAGATTGTAAAGATACCATTTTATCTTTTTCAAGTAAATTTAGCTGTAATTGTAACATCCATAAATACATGTACTATGTTACTATGCTAAGTAGTTAGTGTAAAAATGCAATTTAAAAGACTAATAAGTATATTGTAAAATGCTAATTAGCATATTGTTAATTGAAATAATTGTTAGTTAATTAAGAAATGAATATTGAATATTAGTTTGAATACTACAGTTTGCTCATATGTCAACAGGTTACTATGACATCTTTATTATACGAAGAAAAGTGACATGTATCCTGATATGTGTATAAATGTTGGTAATTATGCTCATTTGCATATTTTGGTATTTAATCATCCTCATTAAAATGCTTTGTTTACTTATAAAGGGAAGTTAGAACCACAAAAATACCTTGTTAGTATAGAGCTCTGTTCACAATTTGTATCTTACCTGGGACCTCGTTACCCGTACAAATGAGGTAATTATGTAATTATGTAATCATTAGCCTAATTAGGAAAAAATGTGTAAACTTTTGTATGTATAAAGATGAAATTAAAGACCTTTATGGCAAACTGTTTGATCCTAAGATGCTGAAAATTTGAAGATTGTAGCATGAAAACTTTAAGAGATACAATAAAAGGTATGTCAGATATTGTTGATTTATGGTCCCTTTTGGTGCCATGACTAATTAGCCTATTCCCATAGGACCAATACTTAAGCATCTTCCAATGAAAACGTCAAAATCATAAACTTTGAAAAATTCTAGAAAATCTCAACTTTGTCCAATTTTCATGCGAAATGAAGCATTCTGACCGGAAAAATCTACTCTATAACAGGGAATCATTTTTAATAATCCCTGGTGCCCCCCTATTTTTAGTGTGACATCCCTATTTAAAACGCAGAAGTACTATGCACAAGCACAATACATTACGGGTTTCGCGGTAACGCAGTACGTTCTGCCGACGTGCTTCGGACGCACCACTTACTGGTTGGAAATATGCTGGCCAAGATATGCTGGGGGATGTTGCAATGGATATCTTTTCGCAGACGCATTTTTACAGTGGTACCAGTAAATATGTATAAACGTTGTATCTGTATCTGTATAGCCGGTATAACCGCCTTTCGGCGTAACACACCAGCTTCTCAGGCACGCGGCACGGCGGCAGCTGGCTACATTACACCGATCGACTTACCAGACCTAACCCTTGAACTTCTAGCTCTAGACATTGTTTAAAGCTATCTAATGACAATGCCCCTACTGTACTTGGTGACAGTGAGTTCCACTCTGCGATAGTTCTAGGAAAGAATGAATTCTTGAACACCTCAATCCTTGGTTGATAACTCTGGTACTTGAAGGCATGGCTATTTCTTGTTGATACAGCTACAGTAGCTTAAACGGAGGAAATTACACACATAATCAAAATAATACGTCAAAAAATAAACAAAAAATCTGTCTCACACACATACTCCTTTAATGGACATACTGCCCATTTTTTTTTAACAGAATGATGCTTCTCAAACATCCATGTCACACCTACCAAATTCACCAATTTCACACTTCCCATAATGCCTAGTACGGTCACGGATATGACGTAAGACCACCCCCCTCCCCCTTCCTCGATGTAATATTTCCAACAAGTTCTATCGACAAACTGGTCAACAGTGTTGTTTGAATTATTTCTCTAGTATAAAGCACATGCCATAATTGCATTTTTGTTGGAATTAGAGAAAATGACGTACCTTCTATCGTTCTACCTTCTACCGAAGACTCTCCTACTCGCACGGTCGCATTACGTATATTAGAACGATAGAAGGTACGTCATTTTCTCTAATTCCAACAAAAATGCAATTATGGCATGCGCTTTATACTAGAGAAATAATTCAAAACAACAGTTGACCAGTTTGTCGATAGAACTTATTGGAAATATTACATCGAGGAAGGGGGAGGGGGTGTTCTTACGTCATATCCGTGACCGTTACTAGGCATTATGGGAAGTGTGAAATTGGTGAATAATCTCTACTAATCTTTTCTCAGACCAACATTGTTCTTCTATGTTGCAGCAATAAAAAAGATGTTCTGTAGACATCTTTCACAAAAGTTTTAACATCTGTGTCAACAATATTGCAAAATCTTGACAAAGACATCTACTATGGCTGTCAGGCACTTGTGTATGATCTTCTTAGATAGTACTGAGGCCACACCAATTAAATTTCTTGGTTAACGGATTCGCCCGCTTGATTTTTTTCTGATTTGAAAATAAAAATAAAAATTCAGAATCAACTGCAAAATGCTCATAT